TTTATAAAAAATATTTTTGAAAATTCATTTTTTTAAAAATAATAAATTAAACATGAAAAAATATTCCCAACTTCAAATTTATGATAAGATAAAATATTTCACGTACCAGTAAAAAATAATAGAGATAAGGTTGATTTTCTTGTGTTAGATTGGGAAAAAAAAAATGAAAAGATAAGAATTTATTTTGTTGAATGTAAAATTGAAAGTTGTTCCGTAGGTATCTGGAATTTTGGTTTGAGGGTAGAAAGCATAGGCATTAGGAGGAAACATAAATGCAGGAGAAGGTTTCAACGTCATGTCTTAAATAGTAGTTGTGAACATGTGGACGATGTCGCGAGTGGCAACCTAATCTGAGTTTTGATTTGACCGTCTCGTGTATACTGTATAGTAGGGTACCACTCTTACATTTGCTATTCACTCCATCAACCCCAAATTGATCCAACCAAATTTCACAAATAGAAAGGCCAATCTATCACCACCTCTAACTGCATCTTATTCTGCCTTTGCAAGCGTTTCTGCGACATGCTTTCCACTTTCAAGACATGGATCATGGATCCAAAGCCAAAGCTCCAAAATCCAACAACAAAAACATTAATTAACAAACAAACTCTCTGCCTTTACAAATAATAAAAACAAATACAAAAGCTTAATACACTCATTCATTATGCGAATGCACCACATGCATACAAATACTTCTACTCTAAAATACGCCCCATATGTATATATATATATATATATATTTTTTAAAAGAAACTAAAAAAACTGCAATAAAGTTCAAACATAAAATGATGTTGTAAAGTTAACGTATTTCTTGTTGTGTTTGATTAGTTTAACCATAATGTTGATAGGACATTTTAAAGTAGAGAGTTAGTATGATCGATTTAATAGTGAGAATTGAGATAACATATATATGCATAACGTTATATTTAAACCTTATTTTAGCCTTCATACTCTTTCTAAGATAAATAATTCAATACTTTAGTCCATAAAAGGCAATAGGAGCAGAAACTTAAAAATTTTAACGATCAACAATTAAAGTTGATACTTATTGCAGAAAAAGTTTCACAAATACGAGAGACTTTAAAATTAAATTAGCATGATTCTCAGATGGAAAATAGCAAACAGATAATAGCTCGTGATCAGATAGTAAATTTCTCTGTTAACACAAAAAAATAAAATAAAATGGAAAGATAGATCTCTTCAAATCATTCAATTTATATACATGATATTGAGTTCAAGCATGTTTGTGTTCTAAATCTAAAATCTAAAAGCTCCCCAGTTACAAGGTCTGTTGCAATTGATCCTATATATAATTAATTTTATGATAACAATTTTTATGAGCTATCTTGTGGATACGGTGAAACCCTGAACTTCAATCAATGGGCAAATCTTTATTAATTAGTTACCATTAGTATAAGGTTATTTCTACAATAATTTTTTTAAAAAACAATTTACACAACCACAATTTTTTTTTGTTTTTTATTACTCTCCATTACATCATATATTTTATCTCAATTTTTTTTCTTCTTATTTCTATAATTTATATTTCATTTATTTTGTATGGAAATGGGTTTCTCTAGAGTCTGACTGTTAGACTATGTTTGAAAACCCATTCAGCTACATCCAAAAATAAGTTCAATATAAAAATTACAAGAGTTTCTTCATACAACATAGATTCATCATCATCAAGCATGTTATCTAAACATACACTTACTCCTTGGTTGGTAGGATGGATTTAGGAGTGATTCTCGTCGATAGGGATGGAATAGGAGGTATTTCAAAAAGTACATGTGTTTGGTAAAGGAGATTAGTAGGTAATTAATTGAGTTAAGAAGATGATAGCTCTTATAAGTTTAAAATTTATTTTCTAAAATGAGAAAATTGTCGTAAAATTGAATACGAAAGACAAAAATAATTTATATTTCTTCTATGCTATATTTGTTTGTGATTAAAAAAATAAAGTTTCATCCCGTGTGTAATATATTATGATAATAGATAATGAATTATCGAAATCCAAATTATCTTTCGGATAGAATGCATTATACATGAAAATCATCATATTTGAATATGATAGAATACATTATGCTCATAAATATAAAAACAATCATGAATAAAAAAAGATAAAATGATAATTATATATATAATTTATATTTACATAAAATTTAACTACATAAAATATAATTTTAAAATACCAATTTTCTTGTATTTTTTTATATCTAATTTCATTCTATCAATCAACTATAATTTTTACTTTATTTTCTACTCATTATTTATCAAATTAATTTTCACTTACTTTATAAATATGAGTCTTACTTTTTTTTTTTTTTTTTTAACAAGTCTTATTAAAAAAATTGTACTAAAAAAAGTCTTATTATAAAATAAACTTTTAAATTACTTTTATCCTTATTATCAAAAGTCTTATTACTCTTTATGCATTTATTAAAGTCGGGGATACCCATTTTCTGTTTGGAAGCGAATTAAATGAATAGCTTTGTGAAATTATAATACGATTATATTCTTACTAACATTCACTGCAAAACTAACGCTTTGGATGATTTATTTTGCATTAACCGTGTAATCTGTGTATTCGTTTTCCAATGAATCAAACAATTAATTAAAGATATATATACTTAACTATGGTGACCATATAACCACAATGTTTCTTTTCCTCTTAAATTTCATGTGACTGAACTTTATGTTTTAAGTATTTGTTTGTTAAATACGTATAATCAAATTCCTTCATATTGTAACCCTATTAATATAAAACCAGTTAAAATTAATGTAATAACTCATTTAATTAAATTATCAATTAAAAATTAATAACATCAAATTAAATGTCAGAGTGTCTTTGTTAGAGAGCATAAGGTATCATTCAGCCTCCAGAACGGAAGTACTTACATATTCATGTAGTAACTCAACTATTTCAGCATTTAATATAGAAATATGAATTAATCTGCATTGGATTAACCTTGTTAATTAGAGTATATATAAGTATAATACAGATAATTAACTAGTAATGTCTAGTAAATACAGTTACTTAGGGAACCATAGCCCATAGCGACAAATACAAATCAAACTCCCATGTTCATAATGGCTGATGTTGAAGATCAGGAAATTGTTGCAAAACCTAAGTTAAATATCCATCCAGATTTATACTTTACAATTTATTTAAATTGAAGATTTTTTGTACATTTTTAAATTTAAATTGAAGATTAAGGTCGTTTTTATGATTTAATTTGTAATTTATACAATTTATGTGTAATTAACTATTTAATTCCTTTGTCGATTTTATCTAAACTACACCACCCTTATGTTCGATTGCATATAAAATAAAATCAAGTTTCAATTTTTTAAACATACACTTTTTCAAGGGAACTAATCAGATAATCAAGAAGTTAGAAACTCATAAAACCAACCGTCTTCAGGTTTCAAAATGTACAATCACCCTCGAACAGTAGAACTGTACAAATACTGATTAATATACACCCAGAGTTAGGTTCGGTTAAATTTTAAAGGGAAAAAATATTTCACTCAACTAATAAGTTTTTAAAATTAGGCATAGAATTAAATCAAACCAAATACATTTTTTAATTTATTTGTTTTAATTTGCTTATTTAGATTTTAACTTTTTCGTTCAAACTAAAAGTTAACAATTTGATAAACTAAATTCATATTTGGCTCAACTTGAATAAACCTTACATTTTACCAACAATAAATTTATCTAAATTTTAATAGCAATTTTTTTTTTACAATGTATCGTGTATAAAGCAAAATAGCCTAAAAACGCTTAAGAATGCAGTATAAGTTAACACCTAAACTTTTAATTATAAAATATTAAAGTATAATTAATTTAATTTAATTTGGTTATATATATATATATATATATATAAACAAATTCATTGATTTATTTATTTTCTTATCATGTTATAGGTTGATAGTATGCATTGATTTACCGATGCTAAATTTGTGTCTGAAAATTTATTTGTTCATCTCTAATGTAATTTTTTCTTTTGACTATAATATTTGAGATAAATGATATTTCTAAATCCAATTTTTTACTGTATTAAAATAATATTTGATAAATAAAATTCATCCGATGCTCATAATTTAATTCTTAATTTTTAATATTAGAATATTATATGGATTATGTAAAAAAAATTGTGTAGATGCATGTTAAGAATTGTATTAAATGTGATGTATCATATAATAGTTAAAGAGTTAATCATCGATAATTAGTATAAATTTTTTTTACACTGGCAATCAATCAAATCTTTTAATATTGTCATGTTATTTACTTATTTAATCAAATAAAAATAAAATAAAATAATTTAAAAAATATGCATGATTAGTTATCAATGTAATTTACACGGATAGTGTATGGATGATTAACTCATAGTTAAAAGTTGTTATTAAAAAAAAAACCCTTGAAAATATGAAAACTAAAAACTAGAAAACATGTTTTTGTGTTAATAATATATATATTGGGAGGTTTAAGAATTAAGATGTATGAATGGTAACGGAGAAAGGAGAAAGGAGAAAGGAGAAAGGAGAAAGGAGTAAGGAGAAAGGAGTAAGGAGTGGGGAGTGGGGGTTCTGCACTTCTGTTCTGTTCTGCAAGTCTGTAATCTGTGCATGACCCGACAAGCAAACACTGTACGATCATGCCGCGTGAATACCCACCCACTCCCATTCTTCCATTACTTTCTCGCTTTTCACACCCACTACGACAATGGGATTGAATCATTGAAACCTCTGAATCAATATAACACCATTTTAATTTTTTAATTTTTTCTAGAGACACACAACATGATGGAAGAACAATTTTCAGACTAGGTAGTAGGTACATCATCTTTTACACTAACAAATCACTGTCACTCACTCACCTAAGAGTATTGAGTATGAGATGTTAATAGCAGGAAGAAATGAAATTAAAAAAAGGTGCATGTCTTAGACGTCGAATTAAGGTCATTAAGCATGCATCACGTGGTTATATAATAATGGAAAACATAATAATCTTGGTTACCTTGTCTTTATTCGGTCTGGATCGATCTCTTTACAGACAAACTAATGAAGGAGAATTAATTGGCAATTAATGTAATAGTACATGTAAACCTAATCACGCACTTTAATTAATTAATCACTCCATGGTCCTTAGTCCTTACCTGAATTGCCAAGACTAGAATAAACTGAAAAGGAAGAAGAACCCTAGCTTCATCTCCATTAATTCAATTTGAGATTACAATGATCAGTGTTTACCTTCACACACAGCACTCTCTCTCGGAAATTAGGGTTTCTTACCGAGAGTGTTCTTGTTATTGTGCATCCAAACTTTGAGAACGTTTCGCTTCACATTAGTCTCAGCGCAGAACTGTTCCACAGCAGATTCGTCGTGCTTCTGGATTCTCCAACCGAGTTGTTCCGCGAATGCCAGCATCTTATCCTTCTGTTCCTGCGTGAACTTCGTTCGGAACCGTTTCTTCGATCCTCCTCCGCCGCCACCTCCGCCGCCGCTGCTGCTCGGATTCGACATGTCTTCTTCGTCGCGGCTCAGTCCGCCGCCGGAGGCCGCCGCCGGGAGGGCCAGAGGCCGGTGCTGCGCCATCGGCGGAGTGGCCAGGGGGTGGTGGAGGTAGCCGGCGCCGGGGGGATGCTGCGGGATGCGGTGGTGGTAGTACGGGGAGAATTGATGGTGGTGGTGCAGCGGCGGCGGCGGCGGCTGGCGGTGGTGGAAGGAGCTCATCTCGCCGTCCATCTCCTTGCGGTGGAAATTCCGGTGGCAGTTGCAGGCGGCGCAAATCACGGCCTCCAGCGTGCCGTCCTCTCCGGCCGCCATGAACTCGCAGCAGCCGTCGACGGCGTGGCCGCCGAAGCTCACGGCGTGGTTCTTCTGGCATTCTCGGTACCGCACGGCCGCCGCGCCGAACGCGCCTTTCCGCCCCTCGGCGGCGCCGATTTTGGACCTGGCGGAGTTCCCGACCGAGTCGTAACTGGGCGGCGGCGGGGGATGCGGCGGCTCCGGCATGCCCATTTCCTCGTCCTGCTCCTCTTGGTCGTCGAATTCCATATCGCTCTCCACTTTTGTCCTAAAAAAAGAAAAAGAAAAAGAAAAAATGGTGGAAAAATGAATATTGCCCTTTTTAATTCGTTTTTAGTTGAATTTTGGTTGTGTATTAGGGTTTGGGAAATTGAGAGAAGGTGGAGAAAGTTGAAGTTGAAGATGTATTGTATTGTTTGTTGTAGATGTGAGATGAGGTGAGGCAAGGAAGTTTGACTGGGATAGAAAGATAATAACTAAGCTAAGTAAGATTGTGTTTATATTTATATTGAATATGGGTAATTATTTAATAAAATGTTATTATTGTAGTGTTGAAGATAAGAGATGGGAAGAGGATGTGGTCATGAATAAGCGGTGTGGTGTTTCACTGAGAAAAGGGTTTGAAAATTGAAATAGTTGCCATTACATAATTAACACCTGTACCATGGTTGCTCAGACATTTACTTTTTTACTTTAACACCCATTTGTGTACAAGCCTGTGTCTTTTTTAATGTAAAATGCATGAGGGTGGAAAAAGGGTAATTAGAAAGAGAGGGAATAATGTGGTTGGTGGGAAAGGGGAAAAGGATACGAGTGTCTGTGCCTGTGCAAGGAGGAGAAGTTTAAGAATTGGGAGCACAAAATGAAACCATCAAAATTTTACTTAGGACACGGACTTCACATCCGACGAATTTATCTGTCTGCATTTATGGGAGCTGCCTACGTGCCCTCCTTCTCCGACAGCACCTGACGTCACACCATCTTTATTATTCCATTACCCTTAACCTCACTTCTCTCTCTTTGCTTTCCAACATTACCCTAACTCACTTCTCTCTCTTTTAATTTCCTCTCTCTCAAATCATAAAATCACCATTTTATTCATTTTCATTTTCCCACACCCCTTAATTCTACATTCACATATCCTAAAACTCATCATCAACCCACCATTTTTTCATAACTTCTTAATCAAGTTCTCAGCTTCAACTATTTTATATATCTAAATTTAATTTAATTTTATGTTTTTCTTTTCTAATTTATTCATTTTCATCCTTTTACTTTTTTATTTTCAGTTCTGTGTTTTGTCTTACTGTCTCCATTATCGTTTAACATTGTGTTAAAGATCCATGTTCACCCATGTCAAAACCTAGTATCTCATAAAAGCCACCTAAACCTTCTAGAAACGGGCGAATCCCACATCAAAGCTGAAAATATAATATGTGGCGTTCAGATGGAAATTCATTTTTGCTTTCTGGACGCAGTTCTGGACTGCTACGAATTGAGTTTTTTTCTCTCTCAAAACTATCATTTTGATGAGGCATGTCATTCTTCTTTATATATATATATATATATATATTTCTCAGAATTAGTGCTACTCAACCAAAGTTATAGAATCATGAATTAATGTTATCTATAATCATGATGTTCAAGAGGATGGTGGTTCTCAACAATTCTATTTCGGCACAAAGGAAGGAAGCATGTTTGTGGGGGATAGGGTTTGTTTATTGTAGTTTATGGTATTCTGGAATACACGTTTTCAATTGTGAAAGATGATCATAGTGAATGTTAGTGGTTAAAAGTTTATCCCCTATAATTGAGGAGAGGTAAATTAAGGACAAAAATGTGGGAAAAAACACCAATACTCAAACTGGAAACCAAAAATTAGTAATTCCGTTCTACACATCTAATTCAAATTTCAGTTCAATTCTATATAACTCATAATATGAATTGTTGAATTGGAATGCCTAATATGTATCGATGTCACTTAATTAAAAATAAATTAATGTCATCAAAGTTACTTATGTGTCATGTAAGACCCCTCCTTTAAGTTTCAAGATAAAGATGTCCGTCCCATAATAAGTGTATTATATGTTATTTGATAAATATTAAAAAAAGTTAATAATTAAATAAATAATAATAATAATCTTACAATGATTAATTTTCTTTACTGATACAATACAAAACTTATTTTTTTTTACATAATATTATTAGAAGTATAAAATAAAAAAAATAATTAATACTACATTAAAAAATTAACATAACACTTACTTTTTCTTATAATATGATACTTATTATGAGACACAGTGAGTAATGCGGAAACATTGAAGTGAGAATAAAAGTTAAAACTTAGAGGATAAAAATGAAAAATATTAAAGTAATAAACTAAAGCTTAAATTAATCTTATAGTATGACAAAACTATTTTCTAATATATATATATATATATATATATATATATATATATATATA